TTTCATTCTCCCATTTTGTGGTTTTCTTTCTGATGAACATAAATCTCAAGTTGTGGCCAGATCAGCTAGAAACTTTCTCCTTTTTACAAGTTGATTTTAAATTCTGGAGTCTCATGGTTGCAGCAAAATTTACAGTTTTCTGGACTGACCATTGAACAAATTTTATTAGGTGAGGTTGGTTATATGGAATGTGCGATTGGACTGATTACTGAAAAAGAGAGAAAAAGAATTCAAATGTTGGACATGCTATTCACTTGCATGCCCCACCCAATTTATTGTCTCTTTTGAGCACCGAAACAACGAAAAATCTTGAGTTGTGACCAGAACGTTTCATACTCCATGTTGTGCTTATTGTGTTACAATGTTCTAGTGATTTCATGATCTTTTATTTTATTTTTTTAAATTTTTAGCTTATGAAGGAACTTTTAAGTGCTCAGTGTTAATTTTTTTATTTAAAATTTGATAATTGTGTTATTGTGGTATGATACTCAGATATTTTATATTTGAATCCGTGCTCAAGATGGAATTTTTACTTCTTTATTAGTTCAAGATATTATCTTCATTTTATGAATTTAATTTTGGAAAGTTTCTTTTTTTTTTTTATTAAAAATTTTGGAAAGTTTCTTTTTTTTTAATTAAAAAAAAGATAAAATGATCTCAACTTTTTAATTGCAAATTTAAAATTTTAAAAAAAGTAAACTATTCGCACGGATGTGTGTGTATGATTCACATATTTGATGGCCATTTAAACTGCCGACGGAAGGTAAAGGAACTTGGTGGGATAATTTCCTCACATGTCAATACACTAAGTTAGTCGAAAATATGTACATTTAATAATAAATTATTTACAAAATTTTGAATAATATACTGTTTTTAAGTTATCAAGAATGAATTAAAAATCAAGAAAAAATCTAATAATTAAAACCTAATGAATTGATTTCACTTCCAAATAAAAAAGAAAAACCTGACATGGAATTTCTAATTTCTTGTTCTTCGCCGAAGTTATAGATTGTTCATATTCAGGCAATTATTTCTTCTGAACTAGTATAGATCATGTGTGTTGCACAAAATTTAAAGAATAAAACATATTGTTTATGACTCAGATAGTACTATTGTTTATTAGATTTTTTTTTTATAGATTTACTAATAAGAACATATTTTTTAATAAATTTTGTAGTTCCATTTAATTTTCAATTTGATCCTCATAGTTTAAAAAGTTATATAATTAAATCGTTATAACGTTCACAAGATTTTCTGGAAAAAAAATTACTGATATAAATATACATGAACATAAAACATTATCTAGATTATTCAAGTAGTCCTGATTAATGGTAATAAAGATATTAAAATAAAGATGATAAAAAATTATTTCACACATATATACAGCATAATATTGAAAAGAAAAATATAATGACAAAGATTAAATAAAAATTATTTGAATTACAATGATCAAATCACAAATTTTAAAATTATCAGAATCAAATTCCAAAAATTGAACCAAACGATAAAAACAAGTATAATTTTCCTACCAATAATCTTTGCAAGAACAAAGCCCATCACTAAAGCAGTGAAACCTGTTATTGTCCCTTACAATTATCTTCCTACACTCCAGTTTAGATATCATCTTGATGCTTGTATGACAGTCCGCACATATCCTCAAGTTTTTCACAATCCTTATTACCGTCCCCATCTCACTAACTAGAAGACCAAAACAGATAGCCAATTTCTCACTATGAACTCCCACCATTTCTTCCTTCTCTTCTTCTTCAACATCCCTCAACACACAGCTTCTATCTGCTACATATCCTGCATTTCTTATCTTAACTCTTAGATCTATCAGTAGCTTATAGATATCATCTGATCTTTCATGTGATCTGTCTCCTATTATGAACTTGTTCATTTGACCCTTATGCTCAACCCAACTCCACCCAGTTGACTTTTTCAGTCCTTGTTTTGTCATTGTTTTCCTAACTTTTTCAACATCTTCCCACCTACCAGCTGAAGCATATATGTTTGATAGTAACACATAATTGCCCGAGTTATATGGCTCAAGCTTGAACAGTTTCGCTGCAGCAAGCTCCCCGAGTTTGATTCGTTTATGAATCCGGCAAGCACTTAGAAGGGAGCCATAGATTCCAGCATGGGGTTCCATTGGCATGGTTAAAATCAACTTGGTTGCTTCTTCTAGTTTACCAACTCTGCCTAACAGATCAATCAAGCATGCATAGTGATCTACATCAGGAATTTCAATTGACTCAAAAACCTTCTGTCCTCCTTCTAATAATCCTTCATGACTACATGCTGTCAGTGCTCCTATATAGGTTATCCGGTCTGGTTTGATCCCTTCTTCTTTCATTTTTGACAGTAGATTTACAGCTTTCAGTCCATGGCCATGAGCTGCATACCCTGAAATCAATGTGTTGTAGGAAACTACATCTCTGGTTTCCATCTCTTGAAATGTTCTTGTGGCATCTTCCATGCTCCCACTTCTTGAGTACATGAAAATCATAGAGTTGTATCCTGAGATGCTGAGATTGATTTGATTTTCCTTCAGGATGCTCACAGCCCAATTGCCTAACTCTAGTGCTCCAAGATGTCCACAAGCAGAGATAACATTAACCATAGTCACCTCATCAGGTCTTGAATCTTTACTTGAGATCATTTCTTTGAACAGGTCAAGTGCTGCGAGTGACTCGCCGTTTTGAGAATAACCGGCAATCATTGAATTCCATGAGACGGTATTCTTTTCCAGCATCTTATCAAAGAGGTACCGCGCCGAAGATAAATCTCCTACTCTTGCATATGCAGAAATCATGGCATTCCATGAGATAATGTTTCTGTACATACCCAGTTGGTCAAAATGTTCCGAGCAGCCTCAAGGTTCCCACATTTTGCATGCATATCAAGCAGAGCCGTCTTCACATAATAATTTGAATAATTGTTCTTTCTGTATAGCCTTCTGACCAGTGACTCAGCAATACAGGGATCACCAAGAGATGAACAAGATGATATAACAGTAACCCATGTTGTTTCATCTGGTTCAATTTCAGAATCAAGCATGTTGTTGAACAATCTTAAAGTCTCTTCTGGAGCTCCACTTTGAGCATACCCTGACAGCATTGCATTCCAAGACACCACAGTTCTCTCTGGCATCTTATCAAAGTACATCCTTGCACTACCCAAATCTCTCATCTTTGCATACCCAGTAACCATGGTGGTCCAAGTAACAACATTCCTCTCAGAATCAGCCATCAAATGAAAAATCCTCCTCGCTTCCTCCTCATTCCCCCACTTCCAGCACCCACCAATCATCACATTCCAATCCACCACACTTCTCTCAGGCATTTCATCAAACAGCTTCCAAGCAAGTTCCATAGCTCCATGTTTCGCATACGCACCCATAATCGCATTCTTCACATAACGCTCATCAGCATGACCCAATTTCACTGCATGAGCATGGAACATAATGATGCTGGCCTTTCCTGAAACTTTTACCAAAACTGGGAAAAAGGGTATTCCAGGAGGCTTTATACCATGTGATTGCATATGTTTGTAGAGCAAAACTATTTCAGATTGAGATCCGACTTGAGAATAGTATTTGAGCATGGAAGTGAAGACATGAAGGTCTGGTTCAGTTGCTGCAGAGAAAACAGAACGAGCATAGGTGAATGGTGCGAGAAGGTGTGTGCAGTGAGAAAGCAATAGAACCACCCAGTGGTTTTGGTGATGAAGAGAGTGGTGAACGAGGTGGGCATGAAGCTGTCTTAGATGACTGAGATGGGCTACTTTGGTGGCTATGCTGTTCAAAAGTGACATGCCAAAACACGTACGTACAGGTACATGCAACAAAAAAATACGCTCTAGTATGGCAAGCCTCAAAGTTCTATGAAGTAAGAGCGGTGGCCATTCGCGCAACCAATTGATAGAAAGAGGCCACGTCACACATTTATCGAGACAAGATCACAGTCAAAGTCATGCCATTACAAACAAATCATGATGTACCCAAATCAAGAAAACTCCTCCTAGTGGACAGTTCATTAAAAATCCTCAAAACTATCTTATCAACTTAATGTGCGAGTCAGTTGACTAATTGGTTTCTCTGAAAATTTGGTTGATGGAAACTCGCCTATTCCACATGAAAAAATTTGTAACCTTTTTGATGGTATTGATCAAAAGATAATTTTATACATATTCACTTTGTATGAGTTGAGTTGCTTCTTTAAAATTATAATAAACATTGACATGCAAGTAATTTTCTTCTGAACAGAGATTGAGACTTTCAGAATACCTAAGAGTTCTGCGGCGGCAGTAATCAGATGTAACCTAGATATTTTGTGAATCTCTTTTCTCATTCTCCATGAAATTCCCAAATGACAACCTCACAAGCAGTAGACTCATTTGAGTCCGCGAAACCATCCACATCCAATATGATATCCACTTGGAGCAAATATTCTTCTACGTAGTAAGAAGGGTGGTCCGCTCGTAAGTCCAATCGCTCTCATTTGGTTTCAAGCGAGCCGTTTAGCGAAGCAATATCGCATATATGAATTTATTTATTTACTTAGGCAAATAAAAATCTTCTTTGTTCTTTTTTTGATTTCATTAGTAATTTTATCTAGCTAGAGTCTATAGCAAATATCGCATATAAGATTTGACATCATGTACAAAGACTCAATGTTAAGTAATTTTAAGTAATTAATAATATAATAAATATTAGTTATGTTGATTTTGTATACAAGAGAAATAAATCCTTTTACATATACCAACCAAATAAGAAGAAATCCACCAAACGGCTTTTTTTTTTTTTGGACAATTTAGATGCATTAAGGGGTTATTTTGCTAATTTCATTTATGACCTGAAAAAATAATTTCACTGAAAAACTACTAAAACTACTTCGCCTAATTCTCATATTCACTTTTCTTCAAGTGATTATTCTACAATGTCGACGTTGCTCAGTCACACAACTAGGCTCTTCAACAGAGACCAAGAATTAACTGTATCAATCAAGAACAAAGTAACTTATATTTTAAATTTCTCACTGTCATACGTTGAAGAGTCCCAAGATAATAAAAAAAAAAACAAGAAGAAAAAGAAAATCAAGGTATAAAAAGGTAATGTAACTAGCCATGTGTTCGGGTTGAGAATCTTCATTCTCATGCCAATTCAAAGCTTCTTCTCTTGATAACCCCAAGGATTGTTGCTTGCCCAATTCCATTGGTCCCTGCACATCTCCTCTATGCCATATTTGGCCCTGAAGAAATCAAAGTATATTCTACAATTAAAACCTGAGATAACAATATACAGGAGTTAAATGATGAGAGAGAGAGAGTAATGAGGAGGGTGGGTAATATTGGAAAAGTACATTTAATAAAACTTTATTTTTGTCAAATTGTCTTTTATTTTGAGATATCAAATTACTTCCAAAGTTGTCTTATAATTTGAGATGAAAGTAATACAAGGATTTCTCTTAAGTCAGCATATTGGAGAAAATACATTTTACCCCCAGTAGTAAAGTTTAATTATAACTTCTGTGCATAAACTTTGAAATTGAGAAAAACCCTCCCTCCAAAATAATAATAATAATAATAATAATAATAATAATACACATTATAAATTGTTTAGTTAGTTAACATTATAGTGACTCGTCATTCAAATTGAATCCAAGTCCAAATGACGAGTCATTTCTGCACTTCTAAACTCTATTTCACAGGTGAGGCATACATGATACAACAATTCAAGATTTTATTCCCTAAACGGAGAAAACCCTAGTTGGAGTTACAGCATAAGGTATTGCGTTCTCCAGCATGGTAGAGAATACAGGTTAGGTTAGGGTGTGAGATGTATTTTACACCATTAACTAAGTGTAAAAGAAGTGAGTTTAGAGTATCAATCTATTGGTCAAAAAAAGCTTTATAAAAATTTTGAAAAATTGTTTGTTAAACCTGACTTCTGGGTTCAAAAGTTTTGTTCATATACTTACCTCCAACCAAGTTCTTTTTCAGCCTTCTCTGTAGATGCATATACAGCAGTAGCATCTCCAGGCCTCCTTGGACACATTTTTAATGGAATTTTCTGTAAAATGAAAGAACTGAATTCATATTTGAGCCTTATAATATAAATTTGCTCATGTGAGCAGGATGTGCAATAACCTTTCCAGAGGCCTTTTCAAATGCTGCAACCATTTCAAGAACAGATGTACCACAGCCAGTTCCCAAGTTGTAAGCAGTACAACCTAAAAACACAAGTTGCCAAAATTACTTGTGTACAAACATGTTTAAGCAATAATAGTAACTACCTAAATGCCAAAAATAGAACTCCTATTGAAGTTAGAGGTAAGGATGGCAAGTTAGGCATGATCTAAAAGCAAAATAAATTTTTCTCCGTTTGAACCAGTTAAGTCAATGTTTTATCAGAGTTTAAAGATGAGTTTGGAGAAAACCCAATCTTTGTAGTTTTTGGGTGCAAGGTCAGGGCAGAGTAGTCCTGACCCAAACCTGTGTTGTATCCATAAACAAAATAAAGCTACAAAATTATTAATGATAATAGTCAAACCAAAGAATGAAGATGTTTGTTTTAATTTCATATGAACTTGCTGATCTAATATTATAATATATGGAAAAATATATTTATTCAAAAGATATTGTACTAGAAAACAGAAGTTGTTGCTTGTTCTGATATATTTTGTGGTGGGACGTGATGGAGATGGTATCAGATGATAGAATACTCACAAGTTTGGTTATAAGTGAGAAAGGGCAAAAAAGTATAGAAGAATGGAGCGAGAGGATGTGTATTGGAAAACTCTACCCCATTGCCATTCCTAGTTATAGGATATGTTGATCCCTTTTACAGTTTAATACTCAGAAGATTAATATATACGTAGAAAACAAGAATTACGCACCAATGTTCTCAGCTGCAAAAAGTTTTCGCAGGGCAGCAATGTGACCATCTGCCAAATCCATTACATGGATATAGTCCCGAATCTGTTTCACATAACCATAGAAGAGAGATGAAGAAAAGGTAACATTCTTGAATGGAAAAGAAATAAATCTGTGCTAATGTCTTTCTCTATGTCCTTTTAATGAAATATGATCCAGAAAATTCTGTCTTGCGAAGTTTCTGTCATGTAATAGATGACAATTTTTAAACGCTAAGATCTGGTTATTGATGGTATGTGCACAAACAAAAGAAATTAAATAAACAGGAAAACAAAACTAAACATGACAAACAAACCTGAGTGCTAAACAGAACTTGCAAATTTAAAAAGATGCTCATATCACAAATTACTACTAAAAGCATAAAATAAATGAAGTTTAAATATCAATCTTCATCTCTGCTCACATCACTAAGATCTCTTGTGAGATCTTTAGCTGTTTTGAAGTTGTTTTGACATATTCTGAAATATACTGGATTATTTCTTGTTTCAAAAAGTATTGAAGGAAAACAATAATATGAATGCTAAAATATAAATCACATATCAAGTGGAATATTCGGTACACATATTGATGCTTCCTAGATTCCATCTATAAACTAGTTTGCTGTTTCGGTTTATTCAGGGCACAGTTATCATATGAGACCACCAAATTTCTCATGATAAGGGTTTCTCTAATGCAAAAATAAAGTACAGAAAATATGGATTTTTTTACAAACCGCAGTGCCGTCCTTTGTGGGATAATCAAAACCATATACATTAAGCTCTGGCAATCTGCCAACAGCTACTTGCTGGATGTAAGGCATGAGGTTATTTGGGATGCCCCGAGGATCTTCACCAATTTTACCACTTTCATGGGCCCCAACTGGATTGAAGTATCTCAGTAAGATGATTCTCCATTCTGGCTCAGCCTTTTGAATGTCTCTAGCAATTTCTTCAAGAAAAAGCTGTAAAAAATGAATGCATCAGATAGCAAACATAGACCACCCACAAGATCCAAAAACAGCCTAAAAAAGGAGAGAGAAACAAAAAAAAGGACAAAAGCATAGAAAATAATGGTGCTTACCTTGGTTCTTCCGTAAGGATTCATGGCTTGTAGCTTGAAGTCCTCAACACAGGGTATCTTATCAGGTTGACCATATACTGTTGCCGATGATGAAAAAACGATCTGCAACCCCCCAACAGGGGGGGGGGTCAGATTATCTGAATCATGAGTTGAGATAAATTCTAGGCAGTATTTTATGTGTGAAGAACAAAAAATGAGATCCACTGCTAAGTGATCAGATGATATAGGAAGCCACATTGTGTAGCTATAAATATAATTGAGCACCATTATAACACAACCGAACCATCTGCATATTGGAATGATTATGCATTGATTCTAGGAACCTGGAGAAGACATACTATGCCCCTTGCTTTCCATTGATTGCAAGAACAAGACCGAAAGGCTGAAGCAATAGAAGTATGAACCTACCTTTTTACAGTTATATTTTGCCATAACTTCATAAAGATTGATGGTGCCGATCAAATTATTATCAAAATATCGACGGGGCTTTACAACACTTTCTCCAACAGCTTTTAGACCAGCAAAATGGATCACAGCATCAAATCTGCCTCATCATGATGCCCAGTTGAAATTACCAATTTTTTTAAAAAGAATCATATCTATTTGCAATTGCAATAAGCTAGAAACATTCAAAATCAATTTAATTTGCATACTTCGTCTTAGAGAACAGTTTCTCCAAATCTTCCCTATTCCTGAGATCACCCTACAAACAAACAAAGGCAATCTAGTGAAAGTACCCAAAAACAAAAAGACAAAAAATGAGTTCCCTCACGCCTTAAAAAAAGAACGGAAAAGATAGATACAGAATTAGAGTAGTCATGAGAAAATGGTTCTTATAGATACAGAATTAGAGTATTCATGAGAAAATGGTTCTTCTTAATCTCAAAAAAGATCAAGCTCACACCAAATTCTTGAAACAAACCCGTCTCATACCTGAGTGAACTCAAGCTTCTGAGAAAGCAGAGGACCCACCAAGTCCCGAACCCGATTTACTGCTTCCATCACGGAATTATCAAAATTGTCGATTATGGAAACCCTAAATCCCTCTTTGAGAAGCTGAACCACTGTATGAGACCCGATGAACCCTGCCCCACCAGTCACGAGAATCGTTTGTCCGGCGAACGAGGCCATTTCCCTCGACGCTCGCCGTCAAGCTTGGATAAATTTTGAGGATTGAAGCAGAAAAGATGAGAGACTGAAGCGATTAGAAGCGAAATAAATAAATAAATTTTGGAAAAAGAAAAAGAGAGAAAAGAGTGATTGTTGAAGACAACTCACAAACTGTTAAGAGGAAGTGAAGGAGATTGTTAGCAAGTTTTAATTTTTATAGTTTGGATTTAGTTATCGTTAGTTCGTTTGCGCGCCCTTTCAATATTCATAATCCTCGGTTTCTACGTGGTGATCTCAGCTAATAGATAAATGCTTCGAATATAAGGGGTTTTTATAAAATTCTAAATTATAATATATAAATTAAATTTTTAAAAATAATTAATAATTTTCCACTTTAAATACTTTTAGGGGTATATCAAAACTGTTAATTTTATATATTTAATATATTTTTATCCAATCAAATAAAAAAAATAAATTTTAATATATTACTAATATTAATAATAATAATTTATTATGAAACAAGTAAGGATTTAAACACATTTTTGTCCGTTAACTATTTCTATAGAAATATTTAATACTCCTTTCATATTAAATTATAATATATTTTTAAATAAAATTTTATATATCAATGAAATTCATTAAATATACTTAACAATTTTATATTCTTAAAATAAAAATATAAACTTTTTTAAAATATCCATAATTTAATATAATAAAAAAAAAGAATACAAATTAATTATAAAAAGTGGAAGAATAATGTTAAAATTAATGCATTTAATAAAATTTTAATCTATTTAAAGTGTCTTATATTTTAAAATAAAAAAAATTTTTAAAAAATATTTTATAATTTAATACAAAAATTGTATCTTAAACATTTTGGTGGTATAATTTTTCTTTTCAACCTTTGAAAAGGAAGCAAATTTGCTCTCATTGTTAAATAGGTTGAGTTTGATCATTAGTTAATTGAAAAAAAGTGATATCAAAAATTTCATTAAAGGATCCTATATAAAAATTAATATCAATTAACTTGTTTTAATTATAAATGAATGCTACTATACTAATATTTTCTTTGGGTAAAATCCAATATACTGATATTACTTTTAATATAAAAGATTAAAATATCATTTTGACCCGCCACTTTTACCAATTATCATATGATTATCCAATTATCATTGTTAGCAATAATACCAGAAGAAATTATTAAAATGTTAATATTTTAATAAGATATTATTACAACAAATATATTTTTAATTGATTACAAGTGTTGTCAACAATGATAATATGATAATCATCCTATAGCCTATCAAACTATCAAAGTGATTGATCAAAGTGATATTTTGATCTTTTATATCATAAAAAATAATATTTATCTCTAGATATTTATTTGCAAATCATGAGACTCAATAAGTATTAAATTTCTTATATGATCGTCGCTTATATTGTTTGGCTCTTCTTTTTAATTTTTAAGTTCTTGTTTATAATTTTGAGTTAGCCGATGGTTAAATTAATCTTTGTTCATGGGATAAGTGACATTACACTATTTTTAATTGTAAAAGAGGAACATTACAGTACAAAAAAGTTTTATATTTGAATTACCTAATTATTTTTCTTAATTGGTGTGTTTTAGTTAATAATGTTTTATATTCGAAAGAGGCGGTACATGATTTGGATATCTCGCGTATCTGTATAGTCAAAATGAATTGAGAAACATATGCTTTTAATTTAACCTTCTAATTACATATTAAGTTTTAATTTGGTGTTTAAATTTTATTTGAAATTTTAATTAATTTTTAAAAACTTAGTCAAAGACTTCATCTTCTCTATCACCCACTAATTATTTAGCGGAGATTTTTATTCAACAGGAAAAAAACACTTAAAGGAAATTGATTAAGTTAATTCATTTATTAACAAGAGTTGTTGGACTTTGACATTTATATAAAACTTAAATAATTCACACTATTTAAACATCTCACATCCGATCTGAGACACTCTTACTAACCATATCACTTTCTCTTTATTCCAAAGACAGTATAAAAAATATTAAATTTTTAAAAACCATACCATGACTTTAATTTATAGTTCTCAAGGGTAAATGCACAAATTGACAATTAAATTATAAGTTTAAAAATATTTGAAATTCTAACCATATCACTTTCTCTTTATTCTAAAGACAGTATAAAAAATATTAAATTTTTAAAAACCATACCATGACTTTAATTTATAGTTCTCAAGGGTAAATGAGCAAATTAATGATTAAATTATAAGTTTAAAAATGTTTGAAATTTTAAACTTATCTTTTGTATAATATTTTTTTTAATTTTTGAAAATAGTGTAATTCAACTCATACTATTAATAAGAGCTAACTTAAACCATTAGTTAAATAAAAAATGATAGAAAATAATATCAAGAAAGCTAAGAAAATTTTGGCTCTTTTTGTAATTGTTTGAGTCCTTTATTGTTTCTTTATAATTTTTGAAATTTTTTTTGTCATTTTTGATTCAACTAATAATCAAAATTAACTTTTATTAAAAATAAAAATCATATTGCACCATTTTTAAAAATTAATATGAACATTGCATAGAAGATGAGTTTAGGGTCTAAAATACATTTAAACCTATAATTTAAAAGCCAATTTATCCTATTTCTCAAAATCTATCTTACATTCATAGAAATCCTTGAATAAATTTTCTTGAGACATACTATGAACATCACGTGTCTCAAGAATCCTCACATTACATGGCAATATTCTTTTATAATTATGTAATTATTCTATTTCATTTCTTACTTTAATCAATGTCGTTCTTGCTTCACTTGTACCTTTACCTAAAAGGGGCGAGATTTTGAGGGGTGGGAAAATATCAATAGTAAACATAGTCATTCAATGTATACACGTTATCACTCAAGAACATCTATACAATATATATATATATATAGATATATATCTTCTTCCATATTTTTTATATATATCTTTTCAACATCAATTGAAAAAAAAAAAAAACAAGCGTTGGGAGTCAATCCTTACAAAGATATATCAAATTGTGCAAGTGCACATGTGCACAATCACATTCAAAATACCAATTAATACATTGAAACAAGGTTCTTTTATAAAATAGGAACAGTACAAATATAAATATACTCAAACAATTAGACATGCATATAAAGAATAGGTAGTGTTGCTGCTACCTGAATCTTTTGACTCTCAAAGAGAACTAGATATTATTTCTCAGCCTTAAAAATCTCTTGCTTTTAATTAATTTCTTTTTTCTCAAAATCCCTCACTTTCTCCTACTATCCAGCACTCAAGTTGAAAGTAAGGAAAAAAAACCAATACCATCATATGATAGCCCTAGAAGAGCATATTAATTCTTGTGGAGAAAGTATGGTGATCAAAGAAAGCCTAGTGATGGTTCTGGAAGAAATGAAGAGAGTGACCAAATAAATTGAGGAGAGAGAAATGGGCTGAGTAATCGGTGGATGTGAGGAAAATATGCCACGTATTCGTCTCAATGCCACTATTAATTGTGGGCTTGACACCTAATCCTTAACATTGTTTAATTAAAAAATAAAGAGGAAAAGAAGCGGTGGAAGAAAAAGATGAAGAGGTGATGCAAGTTAAATGAGATGTATATAAAAGACAAGGATTCAGATCAAGCAGGTGGCCCCAATGCAAAAAGGAACGAGAAAGCTTATTTTTTTAGACCCATTTCTAGAGTAGATTGGCCCACAAACAAAAAAGAAGGAAACATAAAAAAACATGCATGAGGGAGAAATCCAAGTTGTCATCTGATCAAAAAAACTCACTACCATCTTGATGTAATGAAATCCACAATCCAACAATGCAATAACTGCATGAATAGGTAAATAGCTTTGTCTGGAGTGAATTGAATACGCAATCAACCCAACAAATCCAAACATTTTAGGATACAAAGCCAAAAAAAAAAATACCTTTGTATTTACATGATTTGGTGTCAAAAAGGTATAGACAAAAGAACCAAAGGCCAAAGAGGAGCAACAATATGCGAGAACTGCACAGGAAGAAAACATCTTCGATGCCAAGAGACAAGCAAACTGCCCTAGGCACCCAACAAACATCGCCAAAAATTGCAAAAATAAAGTAAACAAACAAGAGAAATGAGATAGCATATAGGAACGAGAGATATTATAACACTACCCATTTTATAATATTCTAAAAACCACCAACCCATCATTTTGAAATTACAATTAAATGCAATGTTTGGTAAGCAAAAAAAAAAATACTTTTAAAAAAATAGAAAATACATCTATCCTATGTTCTTTCTAGATAGATTCTTCATTTCTTTTCTAGAGAATAATTTTTCATGTACCAAACATCTATTAATCTCTTAGCTTATCTAATTATAGGAAATCTTAAGATAGTAAAATTTCCATGAATTATAGTACCTTCTTTGTGCTCACGAATGTGATATCCTTGTTTGGGTTTTGTTGTTCTCTATAGGTTATACACATCCTAATTTTCTTTATGTTAGGAATGGGGAGCAACTGTTCAAGAACAAGAGAAAAGAAGAAACAAGCAATAATAGTAAAAAGACATTACATTTTAACTCAAAACCTCAAGTTTATAAATCATTCCTCTTTATTATATATTAATTATTAAACACAACTTTATTTGATATGGGATAACCTCTATCATCTTAAATCTACTCGCGTTTGAACAACCCAACACTTTAAAAAGCCTGCAAGTATTAGGAAAGATCTTTTGCCATGGTAGTCTACTGCTACCTATTTCCTACCTCATTTCTGGCATTCTAGACAATCCAATTAGTGAGTAGTCGTACCACCAACATATAAATATTGTGAGATTTAGATTCGATGAATGGCTTAAATTTACTCACTTAATAAGTGTCTCAATTACGATTATTAAATTTTATTAATACTTAAAAATTATAAAAATACATTTCCCTCCAAAAATTTAAAACAATCCTAACAATTAAAGCACACCTCACATACATTGTTCTCTCCAAAAATGTAATGTTTGATTTTCTTTTTAAAATTATATAATAAAATCTCTTACAACCATTCAATTAAATTGAATAACTGTTATTGTGTCATATAACACACTCATTAAGTGACTAGACTTAAGCCACTCAGCAAATTCAAATCCAATATTATGCCGGTAACTAACAATGGTATGGAGTTTAAGATATCTGCATATAATCCTTTCAGTCGAAACTTCCCAAGTTCGACAAATGAAAATGCACTTAAAAGTTATTTCAACTGCCTTGCCACCAGTCCCCAGTAGTTAGTAGCAAAATATTTCCATTCTGACTGATTGCCAGCCGAAAAGGCCAAATGAAACACGCTAAGCCCTCTTGGCATGCAAGGCATTAATCTCAACTTCGATTGTTGGGGAGTTAGGGCACGCACAAAATTCGTGTTTTTGTGAATCTCCAATTCTCCATCAATGGTTGAACTTAAGTTCCAGAGCACAATTTGGCCCCAAAAAAAAAAGTTCCAGAACACAATGACAAGAATGATGTACCCATGTCCCCCACCACTTTACTTTCAAGAACAATAACGTTACCAAAAATCCATGCAAGAACAAGATCCATGCTTGAAGTGGTGAAAGCGATGGCGATCCCTAATCACAATAACACGATCAAATGCTTTGCTAATCAATTTTGCTGCAATGTGGCAATCATTACAAATTCTCAAGTTCTTGATAATTCTAATTGGTGTAGATGGGGCAACGGTGAGAAGTCCAAATGCTATTGCAAGTTTCTCACTGTGTCTAAAAAGGGCAGTTTCCTTCTCTTCTTCATCAATGTCAAGTGAAACCTCATTTGTATCTGGTGAATATCCTTCATCCTTTAACTTCAACGCCACAACATCCAACATATTCTCAATATCATTTATTCTAGAATGTGTCTTGTCTCCAGCAAAGAATTCATGAACCACTCCATTTGCTTCAATTATGCTACAACCAGGCGTCTTCACCACCCCATGTTCCATCATCTTCCCCCTAATTTCAAGAGCCTCATTCCAATTTCCTTTGGAAGCATATATATTTGATAGTAAAACATGGAAACCATCATGGTCAGGTTGAAGTTGAATGAGCTTTTTTCCCACCCTCTCCCCCATTTCCTTGTTACCATATTTCTTACAAGCCCCAAGCAAAGCACCCCAAGTAGCAACATCTGGTGCCATTGGCATACTTTCAATAAGTTTCTCTGCTTCTTTAAGCATACCAGCACGTGCTAAGAGATCAACCATGCATCCGTAATGCTTAACATTTGGCTCTATTTTGTGTTCTTCAATCATAGAATGAAAGTGGTGGCGCCCCTCATCCACTAGGCCCATGTGCCGACATGCACCAAGAACTCCAATAAAAGTTATCTCATTCGGAAGCAACCCTACTGTTTTCATATCTGCAAACATGCCAAGGGCCTTCTCTACCATACCATTCATTGCCAGCCCAAGGATAAGAGCATTCCAAGTTGAAACTCCCTTTTCCTCCATCACATTGAAAATCTCAAAAGCATTTTCCACACATCCACATTTCACATACATACTTATAAGAGTTGTACCCAATACAACATTAACCTTTAAATTATTTTTACTAATATAAGCATGAATCCATTTTCCCAAGTCTAATGCAGCGAGATGGGTGCATGCCAAGATTACACTCACTAATGTGATCTCATCTGGTGGGATTCCATGAAACTGCATTTCTCGAAACAATGCTAGAGCCTCTGAGAAACGTTCATGTTGAGCATACCCTGATATCATGGCACTCCAAGACACAATATCCTTCTCTGGCATGGAGTTGAATAATGACTCAGCATCTTCAACTAAATCACATTTCAGGTACCCGGATATCATAGAGTTCCAAGAAATCCTGTCCAAGTGGATGCCATCATTGAAAAGCTTTTTTGCATCCAATATTTCCCCACAACTTGAGTACAAATGTATCAAAGCATTTTGAAGGTTAACATAGGATTGAATTCCAATTTTCACAGCCAAGCCGTGCATTGATTTTCCTGTCTGGACAATTGATAAGTGTGTGCAAGCAGAAAGAACACTTACCACCACCACCTCATCCACTGTAACTTCATTTTTATTCATCTTCGTGAAGAAAACCAATGCCTCCTCATACATTGCATTTTGTTCATAACAAGAAATCATTGCACTCCATGAAACCATATCTTTTTGGGGGATTTCATTAAATAGTTGACAAGCCTCAACAGCATGACCAGTTTTTCCAAACAACACAATCATAGAATTAGATGCAATAATATTTCTTTCCGGCATCCGATCATATATATATATTGCCTCCTTTACATCGCCCATCTGAACGTACCCTGCCAAAATTGAATTCCAAGAAATTTGATCCAACACAGGACTTTCATCAAAAATCTTACGCGCACTACTCATGCTCCCACAAACTGCATACATATTGATCAATGTATTCCTAGCATAAATATCTGAATTGAAACCCAATTTCAAAATGTGATTATGCAATTGTTTTCCTTCAAATTCTGAAGACCGAGCAGTGCAAGACTGAAGAAGAATTGGGTAGGTGTAGTTATCTGGAATGGGATCATTAATGAGGAACAATTTGTACAAAGTTAAGGCCTCATGAGGAGAGTTCCTTTCCAAGTATGCGCGCATCATAGTGTTCCAAATATACCCATTAGGGTTCTCAATGTGATTAAAAATTTTGAGAGAGTAATCAATGCCAATGAAATTTGAGTTCGTTGAAAACGTGATGATTCTGCTAGCAGCATATGTATCTTTGATAAATCCGGTCAGTACCATCTGGGACAAGATTTGATTCAATTGCTTTAGAAATTGGCATTTGTGCAAAACTGTCTCTAAGATAGAGAGGTTCATGGTTGGCCTGAACATTAATCCAGGATTCACACTCGATTTCATAGCTGATCAAATATAGCTCATAGAGAACCACAGATAAGAAGCCTGAAAGAAAACACATTATTAGCTTTTCATATCTTACAATTTATGCTCAAATGCTCAATACTGAATAATGCTAGCATTGTTCAAACGGAATTCATTAGTTAAAAAGTCAAAAGGAACTTCAGACAATTTAGAAGCATGCATGAGTCAGACCAGACATTACAATTATCTTCATTGCTATCATTACCTCACCCACCTAAATTCCCAAGTAAATATCTTCCTTACATCTAAGAATATGTTGAATGCCCCATAATTTGATGTATTCTGTATTCACACATAATAGTGTGTAAAACATACTTCAAACAATAATCATTCTTTGCAAATTTAGCTGCTTATTTTTATTAGGTTAAAGGGGTTTGTTGGATTTGCTGTGATAGGAAGAAGAAAAGAAGTTCTTTTTCTTTTTCTTTAAAGTAACGAAATACTTGAAAAAGAGTCAGGAGAAATGGTTTGATCATCTTATTTTGATTTCTTGAACCGAGAGATCCATGAATTAGGAATACGTATGCCGAATGAAATGGTTGTTACTATCTGCAAAAATTTCAAATAGAAATTGACACACTAACTCTCAAATTCATCATTTCTCATGCAAAATATGAACAACTTCCCATTCTATTAAGCCAAACAAGAAGGTAAAACAAGCACATAATCCCTTAGCCAAAGCTAGCATCAAATAGTGAGACAATTTCTAAAAAGTTGATGTTAAAACTTAAATTGAGGACAAAAGCATTAGGAATCCAAGAAAGAATGGAATTCAGAAAACAGAACATTCACGAATACCTAAAAAAAGTGAATAACGAAGAACCAGAAAATTCTATCATACTTCTTCCATCAAATAGATAAAAATTCAAGAACTTGGGAGTAAAAACGCTTATCCAATTGTTAACAACAAAATCAAATTCAAAGCCTTAACCCATTATAAAAGAGGGGGCAAAAAATGTGACACAACAAATCTGTCAAGTAGACATCATGATAGAAGAAGATCACACCTTTATTTCTGCCAATGAAAGGAATGATAACTCTGAGGTATTTTGAAGGCGACATTAATGTCCAAGATGAAAAGGATGACTCAATGAAGCCTGAGAGATAAACACCAAAATGATCAAGCAAAAATATCCCACAAATATTATATAAAGACAATACCAAGCTTGACTTAAATGCAATTGTTCAAACCTAATTAAAAAAATGTTGTGATAAATCACATGGAGAAATGGTGCCAAAGCAATCCCAAGCCTAACTTGCTGCACCTTCAAACTATGACTTTTCAAGTTTCCTTTAAACACATTTTCCCTCACTTTGTCTAATCTATGGGTCTATGAATGAGTATCCCAAATATCCATATATTAGCAAGAAGCAGACTCAGTCACCAAATGCCAATACTTAGGGTGCCATCTCATTTAGCAACTAACAAAGACTTAACATTTGGACAACATTACAACAATGGGACATAACATTACAATCATGAGACATAACCCATTTGTACAGCCACCAATTTCACACAAAATAGCACACTAGCTGTTACATAACATAATTAACCCCAACTCTCAATCCTTAAGACTTGCACAAAGCATCAAAGTGCATTATCCCCTTAGCATCATATTTTCACCAGTCTTAGAAAATATTTAACATAGATTTTATCCCATATCATAACCTAAAATTTCATTATCTTCCATTTGTCTAACCATAGAACCATAGGTTTTACAAAAAGTTATGTGGTAACAACTTTTATGGCCAAACATAGGCGGACCCATACTACACTCATTGAAATCTTTGAAATATGCATAGTTGATATAATACCCTTTTAATTTTTGTTCCAGACACTTTGACACAGCTCGAGCCAAGCCATTTACAAGATCATACATCACAAATACCTTAAGTATTTTCCAAAATTGATGAAATATACAAAGATTAATAAACATAATGCCAATACACAACAAATCCGACATTGCAAGAAAACACAATCCAAATCATACAAGTCGCTAGTAATCAAAATGAAGAGGGAAGAAGTATGATAGCTAAGTACACACCATTCAAGCTAAAACCAGTACAAAAAATAAACTCAATATGTAAAAATATTCAAACGATTACATGACCAGATTCAAAGCCAAATTAAAATTTAAAATTTAAAGCTTAAAATAGAAGCAAGAACAGCCACGCAGGGAACAGATGACGCGGAGAAAGATTCAAAGCCAGATTGAACAAATCAATCTCACCGGATTCTGGGAAAAGAAAATGTCCTAGGGTTCGAACCTTCTTCACTGCTTGCCCGAGAACAACCACGCAGGACTGACAACGGTTGAAGGCGTCCGATGGAGTGTGGAATGCTCGTTCGTCGACGAAGAGGAATGGGACCGCTACTCACGACAACGTGTTTTAGCGGGTTTATAATTAATTTTAGGAAAAATTTGGCATAGGACGGAAGAAAATGGGAACATGACATAAAAATATGTTGAAGTATCCAAATATCAATGACACAGTAAAATGACATAATTCTTTTCCAGTTTCTAAAAAAAATCACATTAAAAATTTTTAATAAAATGATTAAAATACTCAATTTTAAAATTAAAAAGAAGTAACATCTTTATGCCAAATAAAAAAGATAAATATTTGTCACTATTCTAAGTTTAAGTAATAATTTTTTTTATTGATAATGACTAGAATGCAACAAGTTACAACTTTTCCTATGCAATTTAAATATTGTAAATATTTGTGACTATCGTAGGATGCATTTAGTTCAAGAAAAATGGAGGAAATAGAGAGAAAGAAAGGTGAGGGAAGAGGAGGGGAGGGAGGGGGAGGAGAGAAATGGATCCCCCCAATTTGGAGGGGAGGTTTTCCCTTCTCCTCTCTCCAACCAAACAGCCATTTAGTTTAATTAATGATTGCTATTTTTTTTAGTAATAACTAAAATGAAATAAGTAATTACAATATTTTTGTGTAAATTTTTTTATTTACTAAAGTTCAAATGTTGCAAATATCTATAATTACTTTAGTATGAATAATAACTATTTTTTTAGTGATAATTAGATGGAAAAAACAATCACAACTTCACATATGCAAATTTTATGTTCACTGAAATCTAAGTCTTATAACTATCCGTGCCTATTTTAGGTTAAGTAATAATTATTTTTCTTCTAGCAATAACTACAACGTAACAAGTAATTATTGCTTTAATTTAAACTAAGGTTGTGTTTGGATAGGTGAATTTAAATTAAAAATTTGAATTTGAAATCTTATAATTAAAATATTACATTTGAAATTCATAAATTTTAAATTTTTTATTTGGACGATATAAACAATTTCAAATTATAATATAAATATTTTTTGTTTGGATCTTAAATAAAATTTAAATTTTCAAATTATATGTTTGAATTCAAAAGCAACTCATATGATATTGACAATTCAATCCTAATAAAAGTCGACGATCCAATCCAAATCAAGGGTGGTGACCTAGTCTTGGTTGACTATGGCTATCCAAACCCAGGGTTCGGCCTCGTCGACATTGACAATCCAATCCCAAACAACGCTTATGGATTAGCATGAGATAATTACAACAATTTGAGGACTACAAATTGGACTTGAAAGATGACATCAAACCATTCCCTATTAACAATGATATTTGGCGTTGAATGACGAAGGTGGACGGATCAAAGATGGTGACCACATAGGAGTCGTGGACAGAGATGGCAGCAGCAGACTGACACCAATTGGATGCGATAGACCAGCATCGAAAGATGTAGCGTACCAACATTAGATGACTGTAATAGACTGGTATCAAATGACAACAATGATTATGAGTTGGCACCTGGTGGTGGAAAAGAGTGGTTAAAAGTGAATTGAAATTTGAAATTCCTAAACTCAATTGTTGCCCATGGTCTGGCCCAAGTCGGTGCCTGTAGTTGGATTTTAGTCTATGTCACCTATTATGTCTGTTTCAGCATTGCTGTCAGGTTCCTGTTGACGCCAATAGTTCGATCCAAGTCGACACCAATAGTTTAATCCCAAAAGAAGTTAGCTGGAGGCAGTGATGTTAAAGTTAGAAAAGTAGCGAAGTTGATAAATGAGCATGAAGGAAGAGAGATACTTCCATTAAAATTTAAAATAATAAAGGTTTAAAAACGATTTAAAATTATAAAAGAAATTGAGGTAGGATTTAAATTTAAATTTGAAATAAATCCAACTCCATATGTTTTTAATTACTCAAACATTGGATTTGGTTCAAATTCAAATCCACATGCATCCAAACATAACATTAGGATATTTTAATTATTTAACCAAAAATAATTAACGTCGTAGGAATCTTTAAAGACTTGAGAAAAATAAGATATTTCATAATATTTTATTATCATTTACATATTTTAGTAGAATTGTTCTGTCATTTTCGCCATTATTTACTTCTCAAACTTTTTCTAAACTTTTGTTATGTCGAGATGTTAATTCTACTATTCCTTTCATGTTACCTTTGAATTATTATTAAGGTGACAACTCCGTTTTCAATTTCATATTATCCATAACTTGATCCCACTTATTTATAGTTTAACTTTTGGTTGGTGACTACAATATTTTATACAGCAGTTTTGCCTTATAGTTTTCGGTAATTTGAATCAATACAAGATATATACCATCGGTGTTATGAGCTCAGTTGAGTTTTATCTTATAGTTTTTGGTAATTTGGTCATTGTCTATTATCTCCGCTGCCATTACTGATGTCACCACCATCAATTGCCATTAGCCAAACACCATTAGCTATTGTTAGCTATCCACCCCCACCGATCATCATTATTAGTCACCATTAACCAGCTAATAACAATTATCGTAAATTATCACCATTGGTTGTTCTCGTTTGGCGCCACTACTAAACAAAAGTTATTGCAAAAAAAAATTACATGGCTAATTTCTCTTGATGGCAAGTCATATTTGTATTCAGAGTAACCACAATGCACGCAACAACACTTACAAAAAAAGAACTCAAATTCCTTCTTTTTTTTTAATAGTAAAATACTCAAGTTCCTATTCAACCAAAAAATACTCGGTCCTCAGTTTATAAAGTTGGCTTATAAATAAGCAAATATTGAATACTGTAAAGCCTTATTATTAATGATTAAATAGTTTTCACCTGATCTTATTTATAAATTATTTTTAATATATTTTACTAGAATTAAAAAATCTCTTAAAACTTATTAATCTTATCTCGTCTAAAAATTTAATAAATTTTTAATTTTATTCTTATTAAATATATATTCTTTAATAACATGTTCTCTTTCACCAACATTTAATGAAGCGTAAATCAGAAATTATAATAAAAATTGATTATGTGAATTTTAAATATGATAAAAAAATTTCTCTATCCGCCTTATAAATAAAATTGAAGGCAGTAAATCTTAAGAAGTTAAAGTTTAATCTATAATGTCATTATTACATAAGAAAATGAATTAGCCAATCATTATCTACAATAGAAATAGGAAAGTAACACGAAATTTAGTCTTCAAGATAAAATTATTGACTAACAAGTTTTATTTAAAGTAAATAAAATAGGAAAATCACTTAAAACAAATTAAAAATCTATTTCTGATGATTGACCCACAGCTTCATCCCACGTGTTTTTTTTTTTTCCATTTTTGGGTAAACATATCCCATTTTTTTCTTGGGCCTTCTCTCCACACCTATAATCTTAAACGTGGGCTTTCTACCTTACAATGGATTTAATGCATGTTTGAACTTCTTCTTTTAAAAGATTTGACTATTTAACTTCTTAGACTTCACATTAAATTTAAAAGAATTTAATCAGCTTGGATTTTAGAATTATATTTGTAAAAAAATTTTATATAAATCCGATACATCACATTATTTATAGTTTATTCAATAAAAATAATAACACATAAAATTTTATTTGATTTAATTGGTGCTAGAATGTCATATTTTTATTGGATAAATTATGAATAATGTGATGCACCAGATCAATGCAAGAATTCTTTCATGCATATGAAGTACTTTGTTCTTTTATTTTATAAGTCATTTCTGACAATTTCATTAAAATTAAGAAGAGGCTTGGAACTCATTATTTTTGTATAAAAACTAATGAAGTTTCTAATGTTACCCTTATTAAACCCATCCTTTGACAAACAAAGAGCCAAATTTACAAAATATAAACCAACATTGAATAAGGATAATATGAGAAAAATGTACTATAAACATCCTACATGTTGTCTAATAAAAAAGAGGACCAAAAGTATCTTCTTCAAAGTACCTTATAAAAAGAATTGAAGAAATCCACCGACAAGAACATAAAACACCACAAAAATAAACTTTCAATAAAGAATTAGAAAATAATTACAATAAAAAATTTAAATAAAAGAGAGATGCAAAATAATTGGTCTTGGGATGGATTAGTTATCCCCATCAGAAATTAAAAAGAAAAAAGAAAAAGAATATGTATGTATAGTGTGGGTGGTCATTTTCCAAATTCCATAATTTAACTTAAGTATTAAAAAAAACATGTGAATATTTGCATATGAAAAAAATGACATTAAGTAAATTTCTGTTCTAATTATTTTGATTTACACCTAAACTTCACTGATACTCGAGTCAGACTTCTGGAAAAGGCCCCCAGCATTTGAAAAATGCATGCAAATCTAACAGCTTTAGTTGGAACACACCTAGTAGTATGAGTAATGACAAAGACTTACTTGAAAACTATCCACAAAAGGACAAAAAAAAAAAATACTATAACTTGATTATGCGGCTTCACAAGATTGAGAGGCCAAATGCACCTTGTCAAACTGAGTAGAGCCGGTAATTCGGGTCAAGCCTGACGGGCTAGCTCGAATTGACCTAAAAAATTTTAGGGCCGAGCTTAAAAAAAAGGTATTTTTTTATGTTCGGGCTTATTCGGGCCAAGCCCGAACCCGATCGGGCTTGGCCCGAATACTCGAATAAAAAAATTATATTTTTAAAAAATATATATAATATAATAAATATTAATTAATTATTTAAGTTTTAGATCATTTTATACTAAAATACCATATATTTGAGTCCTAAACATCATTTAAGTATTAAAAAAATATATTTTATATTTTTTATAAAATAAAATAATTAATTTTAAAGTAAAAAATAATAATTAAAAATAATTTTAAAAATTAAATTCGGGTATTCGGGCCGCCCGAAGCCCGAAGGAATTCGGGCCGGGCTTGACTATTCGGGCTTTTCGAGAAATCGAGCTTGTTTGGGTTCGGGCTTATTCGGGCTGGGCCTATTCGGGCCGAGCCCGAATAAGCCCAGCCCGCCTGAATTCCCGACTCTAAAAGTGAGAATATGCAAAAACCAAAAATGACCCTATGTTTTGTTTCGATTATTAATTTTTTATTATGTGAAAAAAATGTTTGAATCTAAACTAATATTTAACTCTTCTCTAGCTGCTTGAATTTGAGATAATCCTAAGGGGTTAATTGTTGATTTTCATTTTATTTGCCATTCTTTTGATAGAGCCTTTAATTTGAGTATTTTATTATTGATTGTTTAAAACGATAAAAATATATTTTTAAATCATTTAATTTCATATTAAATTTAATTTAGTTATTTAACTTTATTAAATTTATTTTTAATTTTTTAACATTAAAATTAAAAATATACTAAAAAGTTCCATATCTTTTAACACCCTCAACTTAATGGAAAATAGTTATATATAAAGTTATATAAAAATTTAATTCTCGTGTTATACCAAAAACACCAAAATTTACAGCACAAAAATATTATATTTTTCCCAATCAAATCATAACATGTGATATTTATACCAATTATTTTTAATTTATATTTAAACTTAACATCCTGTTCTTTGATTTATTGAAAATGAATACAGTAAATAAGATTAAGTACTTAAAATTTCTGCTGAAAAATAGAGTTTCTTTTACAGGATAATGTCTAACATTCCCATGAATCTTGATCAAGAAAGGGGGAAATAAGCCCCATGAAAAAAAAATACCAATTTGGTTTTTTAACAGAATTTTGGGTGTAAGCGAAAAATATCTTTCTTTTTAATACAATGAAGATATTATCTTTCATTTTATTATATTTTAAAAGTTGAATTTATTTCTAAAAATGATAAAATTTAACGACATAATTAATTTAAGCTTAATATGAAATTAAACAATAACAAAATTATCACAAAATAACCAATGGCGAAACCTTTTGATTTTTCAAGTGAATGTCAAATTCTGCAACACACACACACACACACACACTCCACCATGTGCGCCAACAATCAACATTTCAATCCATGAGAAACAGTCTAGGTAATTAAATAATTCAAATCAAACGCTACATGCCAGAGTATGAAAGCAAAATTAAGGATCAGCTACATTGAACATGGATTTATATATATATATATATAAACCAAGATTAATTACTTGAAGGACATATTACTGAACTCCCGGTTTGCAGCTTCAGGGATTAATGGATTCCACTCCCACAATCTGTCAGAGAAAGAGGTAATTGGAAGAGAAGCATTCAGAGCCACCATTGGTTGCTGAACTTGGGGCTGCTGCTGCAATAGCAGGTTAGAGAACTGAAGATGATGATGATTCTCAGAAGGAGGAGGATTAATCATACCACTATTATAGTATTGTAAATATTGTTGGTTATTATTATTATAAGTCACTATCCTATTCAGATCATCCATCATTAATACTGAACTGTTGTTGTTGTTGTTAGTGGTGGTGGTGGTAGTTGTAGCAGCAGTACTGCTACTGCTTCCCTGATCAGTTTCGTTGGTAATTTGCTGATCTTGATGATGATGATGATGATGAGGTTGTTCCAGAAATAATCCCATGTTTTCATGATGATGATGATGAAACATCTCTGGAACAACGTTGTTGTGCTTATGATAATTCTTCTCTGAAGAAGGTTTTGATGGTGATGAAGTGGACAGTCTGGTTGGAAGACTGCGAGGAAGAGAAGGGTGGTCTTCTACACCTGGTCTCTTGTACACTCGACACAGAGATATCTCAGCCTGTACAACAATATACACAGATAAATTTCAAGCTAAATTAAACAATCATTTGATAAACTTTGAGGAATATTATATATATATATATATATATATAAAGAAGCTAATTAAAAAAAATTAGTATAAGGAGTAGACTCCGCTCATAGTTAACATTTTCTCCTCTTAAAATTTAATCAACAAATTGCTTCAATGCGCATGCCTAGGTGATATATAACAGTTCTTTTCAATAAAGATTGCAAATTTTAGACTTGATCTGAGCATTGGATTTATCTCTCACAATATGGTGTTATAAGAAAAGAGATAGACACATGTAATGATGATCTATATGTGAGTAATGAATATTGTCCCGTCTTATTTGAATTATAATTTGGTTAGGATTTTAGGAGGTTTTAAAGAAAAATCCTATCTTGTATCTCTTACACAATAGAAATATATATGAAGTTGATAAATTTTTAGATTTATTAAAGGATAATTCATTAAGATATTACAATTATTTTTTAATTTATTTTGAAAGGAGATGGGGACATAAAAAACCCACATAAAAACGAGCGGCTAACATAAGGCAAATTAGGAGAAAAATAGAACATATATGTATCGCATTCCCTGATCATTACTCAAAATTATAACTTGGGATATGTGCAATACTAAAAGGCACATTATTTACCATTGAACAGTAGCTTATTAAAACAAATACTCCCTCCATTTTTATTTGTAAGTTACATTAATTTTACAAACTTTTCATGTCAACGAACAAAATTTATAAAGCAAATGAGACTCTAGAGAGACTATATTGGAAAAAAAGAGAATATTTTTGCAAAGATAGACTAATTTTAACAATATATAAACTAAACAACAAGTCTTATCCTATTAGACCAGTTCAATTACATAAATTGTATAATGTTATTATACTCTATCAACAACCAAATTTGGGTGGTTCAAATAGAGGAAGGCTACAGAAATTATTTATGATAAAAAAAATATCTTATAAGCATAAATGAAAAGTTCCATTGAATTGCTATAAAACAAGTTATGTCATATATGATGATAAATGTTGGGCTTTAAAGAAATAATAAGAATGTAAAGTTAGAATAGCAGATATGAGGATATGAAGATAGATGTGTGGACACATGTGGGCACATTTATTTAAAAGATTTAAAATGAGAGAAGAGTGGGCATATAACATCTATTGAGAAGAAAATGATAAAAAATTATTTAAGATAATTTAGACATGTATAGTAGGTCATGAGAAAGTAACACTGAAGAGGGTGAAATAAATAGTCTTGAATCCATTGAAAAGGAGAAGAGGAATACGAAAGAGAATGCTAAAAAAATTATTGAACAATACTTTTAACTAATTTTTAATAATTCGTACAAATTAGTGGGAGATAACTTATAAATAAGAAAGAAGAAGGTATAACCTCAACAAGAGTTGGGTCAAGGGGAGGGTAGGAATCAATGGAATGGCAAGGATTTTGGCAAGCCAAATATGTATATAAAAATACAAATAAAAATAAAAAATAGGATAAAAGTACAAATTCAATCATGAATTATTTTACAAAGACCATTGAATATACTATACTATAAAATGGTGCAAAGAAAATCATCAATTATGAAAAATGAAGCATCTAGTATCTCTCATTTATTTTCCACAAATGGGTGTTTATTTTCAAACTAGTAAGACCCATTCAAACATCCAACACCTTCCATCTACTTCGCACATACACACACTCTTCCTAGATTTCATCTTCTCTCTCTAACCTTATCTTCAATCTCAACTCTTCAACTTCTCCCTCTAATCCGCTAAGTTGCTTTTCTATTACTTGTACATCAATAACCATTTTGTCAAGGGGTTTTGGAGATTGCTCCTCATTAAGGGTGTTTATAGGCTCAATTTAGTTTGGTTTTGGGCAAAAATCAAACTGAACCGAACCATTCGATTTACACATATCTAGAACCTGATCAGTTTTTATGAAACCTGGTATGATTCAATTTTATTTTCAGTTTGATTCAATTTGGTTAAGGTTTGGATCAAGTTTCGACGCACTTATTTGATTTTTTTTTATTTTTTCCATCTTCATAATAGTGCAATGTATTAAGATTAAATCTAATTCTTTTTGGCTCTTTTTTTATAAATAGAGATATAAAAATATAATAAAATTTCAATGAGTTAACAATAATTAATCATAAAAATTCATATCATTTTATAAGATTAAAATTATTTAATATTATGTATTTTCATTCAAGTCCTTTAAAAATATTTCTCTATGTATCTATATTTTAATAATAATGAAAAAATTATTATATAAAATTCAAAACAAAATACTTATTGTAGATAAATTGAGTACGTGAGGCTTTCAAGTTTTAAATAATTACATGATGGTCATAGCATGATTATTATAATTATTTAACATTATGCATTTCCATTCAAGTCCTTTAAAAATGTTCATCTATTGCTATAAAAAATTCAAAACAAAATGCTTCTTGAATATAAATGGTTTTATATTTATAACTAAATAAATAGTATCTTTTTTAACCAACTCTGGTTTGGTTCGGTTTGGTTTCTAGTATTCAAAACCGAAACTTGAATCAAACCAGTCAGTTCCCATCTCATAAAAATCAAAGCAGACTTGATTGTTGTTCGGTTTTAATTTGGTCGGTTTCTTTCAGTTTGGATTGGTTTGGTTCGATCCTTTCAATTTGGATCAATTTTAAACACCCTTGCTGCCTGCCTACTATGTATCCTATTCACTCGAACTTAACATCCTTGAATCTGAGCTATGCAGCAGGGATTGGGGGTCAAGATCTGAGAAAACCAATAATCCACCACAGCGGAAAACGTCAGTGATTATGGGTGAATCTAATAAGCTACAAAATCTTTTTCCTTTTGTTAACTAAACTCTTTCAGTGAATGCCAATGATTTCTGTATACAGGGACTGGATTGCATTGAAGACAAAGGTCTAGGTGTTCTAGCTGCTACCTGCAAAGATTTGCAAGAATTGAGAGTTTTTCCAAGTGATCCCTTTAGGGCTGGGTCTGGGTTTGTAACGAAAAACAGACTTATTGCTATACATATCAACGGGTTGCCCCAAGCTTCACTCATCGCTTTACTTCTGCCAATAGATGACTAATGCTGCCCTCATAATGATAGCTAAGAAACTACCCAAATTTTATCAGCTTTAGGCTGTGCATCCTGGACCCCATGAAACCTGACCCAGGCACATTGCAGCCACTAGATGAAGGTTTCTTCGTTGTCTCGGATCTAGAAGGTGACCCAAAAAACATGGGTGATCTGGTGGGAGATCAGGGAGAGGTTGGCAGCGATGGTGATGAGATCGAAGGTGAAAAGCTAGGATATAAAAGTAGAGGTGGAGGAGCAAGATGGGTAGGAGAGAGGGAGGGAGGAGGGAGAGGACCCATAAAACATTTTTCTCCCTCTTCACGCGAGAAGTATAGGATATTTGGTAATTCTTAAGAAATAATTTGTGACTGAATTTTTCCTTTTATCCAAAACAAAATGAAACCTTTGGTGAGAGTCATGGCCAACTACAATCCCCTTCTCTGCCCCACTGGTTTTAATTTCTTCCTCATACAATTAAGCTGTGTCTGTGAGTTAAGTAAACAGTGACACTTATAATTAGCTGCAGAGTTTTTTAATAATAATAATAAATGGTACCTTTTGCAAGCGTTGGGTTTCATGGTGAGGCAAGCGATACTCATTCATAATCCAACTGGTTCGAATCCCTTTGGGAGCTTTTCCAGAGTAGAAAACTAGGGTTTTCTTCAACCCGATCGACCTTGAACTCTCCGCCGCTCGAATCATTCTATCAGCTCCTGTCGCCTTCCAGTACCCCGACGTCGTCACCCTGTTCGGCCTATCTCCGTTCCGATACTTCCTGTCTCTCGGGACGTAGAAGTACCACTCCTTCTCTCCGATCGCCGCCATAGCTGATCATCACTCATCACTATCACTTACATTCTCACTCACATATTCCAGCCAATTCGTCAATTGATTGAAGCTAGCTATCAATAGATTGATTGATACGTACCAGGAAGCTCCCATGGATCGTAACGATAGAGATCGAGGAAGGTGATGAGCTCGACGTTGAAACGCTTGCCTTCGACTTTCCGGCGGAGGTAGAACTCGACCAGTTCTTCTTCCGTTGGGTGGAAGCGGAAGCCCGGCATGACCATATCTTGCTGGTGGTGGTCGTCGTTGTTGATGCCGTTTTCATCTTCGTCTTCATCGTCGTCGGGATGCCTGAGGGCACCGCCGCAGTCATTAGTGGCAGAGGAGGTGGCGGCGGTTGTGGTCGTGTCGTCGTGGCTGTGGCTGTGGCTGATGAGGCTCATGGTGGGGGATGAAGAGGTTGCTGCAATTGCCATAAGCTAAGAGACCAAGTTATATCAGTGAATTGTCACTATAAAGAATTCAACTACTCTTTTTGGTGTTGCCTCTGGCCTATCTTCTCTTTCCCTCTTTATAAATTGATAAGAGAGGGGGAGAGAGATATACGTGGTTAAAATTACTCCTCTGCACCGCTGTAAGTCGTACATGTTGTGCGTTTTCTTGAAGTCCTGTTTAATTCTAAATATATAATACTTTTTTCATTTATATTTTTAACTAAATTTTATTTTTTAATAAAATAGTTATTTATTTTTTAATTAACCCTATTTTTTTATATTTATTCTTATTAAATACTTTACAATAAATATAAAGTCATTCATCAATAAGAATACTTTTTAAAAAAAGGCCATGATTATATTTTGAAAGATTAAAAATAACTTATATTTTTTAATATCTAACTCTTTAAAAAATATCTTACATTTTTGAATGGAGAGAGTATATTTTTTCAAATATTATACCTTTAATTTATTATACTCCACTAAAGTAGTAATTAAAGAGATGGTGTTTTGACTAATTAAGTTAATTATCATATTTATTCTACTCAAGGTAAGATCATAATGATACAAATTTTTTTTTGGAAAATCAACATTCTAACCAATTTTTTTAAAAATATATAAATTATTAATTAATAATTAATTGTACTTTCTCCCTCATAAATTATAAAATACTTTTGGATAAATAAATCTCATTAAATATACTTTAATAACCTTATTTTTTTAAAATAAAAATATAAAATTTTAAAAATACCTTTTATTTAATATATTAAAAAGAGAGAATGAAAATTAAATAGATAAAGAAGTGATAATATTGAAATAAATTTATTTAATTTAATAAAATTTTAATCTTCTTAAAATATTTTATATTTTGGTATACCAAATCTCCCTAAAAGTATGTTATAATTTAGAATTGATGGAGTATTGTGATTTGGAGGGAGTAAACATACTTCCTCCATCCCTATATATAAAACATTTTTAAGTGAATTATGAAAACTAATAAAAGTATATTATTTAATTAAAAGCATAGTAATATTTTAAATTTATCCCTAATTATTGTAAATAAAAAATAAATCTTTTTTTAAAGTAAATTAATGAGAGTATTTATCTTTTTTTCTTTTTAATTTAATAAGAGTATAATATTTCATTCATTGCGGAGGGAGTATGTGTATATGACTTGAAAATTAAGTTTATGGGTTTCTTTAGTGTAGATTATTTTGATCCTTAAACAGTCTTTTTAAGTATATATTGATAAGTTGTGTATAATTATCACTTTTGGTAACATTCAATGACAGTAAATTTTTCTCCCAAGTTGCAGTTAGCGTGAGAGGGATAGAGATGAGATGAGAGAAAAAAATCATATAACATTGGGTCCACGATACTTTGAATATATATATATATATATATATATATTACAGCTTTCGGCCAAAATATATGTATTACAGATACAGATATATATATATATAAGAAAATAATTTTTTTTCTGAGTATTGTTAAAAGTTTATTTATTTTTTCAGTTTTTTCTTGCCCACAACTAACATCCATAGTTTCCCATGCAAAAACTAATCAACGCTCGTTAAGCAACACAAGGTAAAAATAAAAAAAAAATATCTTTGTTATTTTTATACCGATAATAACTTGGAAAAAATATTTTATATTATAGACCATAGGCAGCATCTAAGACCCGGATTTTATATCTTTTATTTTAAAATAATAATTGTTTCTCGATGTGAAAGTAATCGAGTTTTAATTAGGTTATAGTTAATTTAAATATATATTTTTGCTATATTTTAGAAAGGATTTACTCAATATTTTTTACACAACTATGGTATTAGTAGTTTAAATTTTACTATTTTCATCTAGTTTAGTAAATTAATATTTATATTTTTTTATTAAATTCAGTAATAATTTTTGTCAAAAGTTACAATAAATATCTCAAAAATTAACATTAATTTTTATTTCAAAAATTAATTATATACATTAAAACTTTTATTAAAAATTTATAAAATTGAGTATTTTAATAAATTAAAAAAATAGTAGAATTAATAGAAGGATGTACATGGCTTTCATGCCCTACATGGGATTAAGATGCCTTGAGGTTATTTTATGAAGCGACAATGACCAAACGACCATGTATGAGGTAGCGACGGTGATCCAACGATGTATGGGACAGGGTATAGCGGTGGCTTTGGACCGTTATTCAATCATCGATCCATTTTTCTCTTCCAAACAAATGAATAAGAAACAAAAAGACTTTAATTTTGTTTTTTTATTCAATTTTCCTTTCATATTTTCGTTTTACATTTAAAAATGATGTGTGTTCACACGATGTGCACTCGTATAATAATAATACTTGTATAAGAAGAAAGTTATGCTCCCGGGAGTGTGGTCATTCTGATTATAAAATTATTAATGTCATCATAGTTATCTATTTTTGTCAAACTCACGATTTCACTTACAAAACCTTTAAAATCATATCGATTTACTCATATATTCAAACTAAATTCATTAGTTAATTATTTAAGTTTATCATTTTTATATCTTTAACTTATAAAACCGTATCAGTTTGCTTATAAATTTAAATTAAATATAAACTTAATTAAAATCATTAAAAAATAATGACACATAACATTTTATTTGATAAAACTAATATAACATAGTTATTGATGAGATATATATATATATATATATAATGGTGGTAATCTTCATCTCCTTTCTATTGATATCTTAGGCCTACAAAATCGACTCATTAACCAAAAAGTAATTACTATATGCCTTTATTCTCTAACAATAATTTATAAGTAGGGTGGGGAACCTATGTACGCCCACACGCCACTAGTTACTTGATAATTTAGGACTTTCATAGACTATTCTAAAACTTTTATGACCGGTGTTGAAAATCATTTTATTATACAACTTATTTACAAAAATATATAACCAGTTCTACTTTGTATATTGGTTGTTTTTGAAGCAATGTTAAGAACCTGGAGTAGATAGTTTTTTGGGTAAAAGAATAATTTTATCATAAAATTATAGATCCAATTTAGGATCATGAACTTTTTTACGCAATTTTGTCCCTCAACATTAAAAAAAAAATTAATCACAATATAACCCCCCTCCCATTAATTACAATATAAGGTCCGTTAGTTTAGTGTTGTGGGGCTTATATTTTCTCTCATATATGATGACTTGACGCAATGTTCTTGTAATTAAGGGAGGGAACATATTGCAATGTTTTTAAATATTGAAAGATAAAATCACATATAAAAAAATTATGATTCCAGATGTTACTGACTATATAGTCTAACAGCAAAAATACCCTATTATCATACCAGTGGTTGGGAAAATTGAATAAAGTCCAATGTTCATCAAAATATTGGGCAAGACTATCAATTTGTTAATAACATGTCACTGTGGGATTCTTCTTCTACTTCCTATATGAAACCTTAGACCAATATAATTAGTGGACTTATTCATCAAATTATGTTATTTAATCCATATTTTTCTTTCACGGTCTAGTGAATTAACAAACTCATGATGATGATGATCATTTGATTTCCAAGATTTTTTTTTTTTGCTTTTTGAAAAAAAAAGGAATATATATTTTAGCGCACATTCGAAGAAATTAAATTAAGGATCATGTTATGTGATATTGAAATCTTAACTCATAGCTACAATATGCCTTTGTGTGTGTGTGTGTGTGTGTGTGTGAAACCATCCCTATTAATTATGATCATTATCAATGATACAAATATAACCTCTGATTTCAATTTTTCCTTGTTATATAATATTTTTTTTATCAAGCAAGATTGATTGACAGCCTTAGATATGTGATTGATATATAAATACGCGTGCTAGTTGTAATAATAAAACAAATACAGATAACAACTTGCGTTGAAAAATTTGCATGCATATCATATATATATATATATATATATATATCAATTTTTTTTTTGGTACGATGAATACAGATGATTTTGATCCAAACTTTTTTCGAGGAAAATATAATAAAATCAAAAATGAAATAAAAAATATATTTACAAGTATATTTAAAAAAACTAATAACGTCATGAAAATCAATTTCGAACAACACAATCTAAATAAAATAATTTAATTCTCCCTATACAATTTCAAGAATGTGCAAAATAATCAAGACTTGTAATAATAACACAGAATATAATAAATGGCCATGTAAATTTTTAATTATGTATAATAAAATAAAAATAAATTTAACGTAACGTGTGCTGCATGAAAATTACATAGCTGGTGCCTACTAAGTCATTAGTGGCCTAGCATTAGGACAATTAGGGTGGCTTTAAGTGATTGAAAATTCAAAGTGGGAGACTCCAAGTCTTCTTGGATCTAAAAATTACAAAACCAATTAATGAAATCTTCTTGGATGTAAAAATTATATATTTATAAAAATAAATATCAGACTCAACCCTTGTCTGTCTCGAAGAGGATAACTCTTCCAAAGCCTTTTTTTTTTTTTGCATTCACATTTAAGAGTGAGCATTCGATTGATTCAGTTTTAATTTCTTCAAAACCAATCGATTGAATTATACAAAAAATTTGAATCAGATCGAATTGAAATAGTTGATCAAACTGAATTAAAATTAAATTAAATTGTAATGGTTTGATTTAATTGGTCTATTCAATTTATAGACTTTAATTTGGGTCTTGAAGTCTAATTATTTATATATATTTTTATCCATTTTTTCCTTGATGTTGAAGGCCCAACAAAAATATAGCAATAAAACTCAATACTATTGTATTAAAAATTAAATTATAGAAGTAAAAAACAGAACATCACATTAAAAAAAATACTACTATTGCAAGTGGTAAAAAGATGTTTCTTACTTACCTACATGAAAATTTATTTACCTTTTTAAAAATATAAAAAGAAAAATATATATAATTGAGTTGGTTCAGTTTATTTAACACAAGAATTTTTAGATTGAATCGAATCGATCAATCAAAATTTTTATTAAAAAAATCAAATCAAATTGTATAATCAAATAGACCAAATTTAATTTGATTTGATCTGTGATTTTGATTTAATTTTGCTCACT